GTTGGCGCCTTTGCTGCGCCAGCACTAATATCATACAATAGTCGTATCACAGATCCAGATCGAGGTCGATATCTATAGCCGTATACGCTTTATGCACAACAAGGCATGCAGTGGTGCCTCCTACATAGGAACAGTATTCAGAAATAGTTGGTGTTGGGCCAGATTCTTGAAATGCCAACATGGCCAGCTGATAGCCTAGGTAGTGGAGAAAAAAAGGTAAGGTGTGAGTGCTTTCGCCGGTTCCCACACCCTCTATAGCTCCACTATATGATCTCGAATTTATGTCACTGCAACATGCCTCTCAAGCTGTGCTACCAGTGAGACATCTTTCTAATCTGCGTGTCAAAAGCGGGAACAGTGCAAGTGTGTATGTACCATTCAAGAGGACCACAAAACTGACCCAGGTGAGCAAGCAAACGCTGTAATGGTGGAAAACAGAGAAGTAACACGCTCATAGAGAAACATACCACATAAGGACCGTCTCCCTTCTGGATGAAAGAGATTGTTTTCAGGAACTATTAGCCTCTCGTTCTAGTGCGCACTGTGCGGCTGAAGCTCGTCGCACATGGATTTGATAAAAACATAGCTCGGCAAAGGTGTCAGATCATACTACCGCTACTCGCGTTAACATGGAGGCAGTGAAAAAGTTTATGATAAAAAGAAAACACGGACGGCAGAGAAAAATTTTAATTTGTACGAAACACAATTTCACAACAACATATTCAAAACTGAAGAGCATAGATGAAGCCCAAAATGAACGTGAAAATTCATTCCACTTTCAAGAATAAAACAAGTTCAAAACAAAACATTTTGAAATATGTCACATAACTGGAATATAAAAAATTAAATTTACCGGCATAGTTACATTGCTAAGATCACAGATGCTTTATCTTAGTGCACAAACAACCTCATACAATTAGGTCAAGTGATTTAATTTGCGGAACATTAAGAAAATCGAGTATTTATGAGGTTTATTTGTATGAAGGAATGATGTATGCGGAGCAGATTAAGCCAAGTGAACATCAAAAGCTTCATTATTCTGTTGGTGATAATTGTGCTGTGCCTTGTACACCAAATAAAGGTGAGCTTTTCGAGCTGAAGGAACGACGCTAACTCAATGAGACTACCACTGTTCACTCGCTTTATACTGAAGCAGCGTCTAGATGTGTTTTCAAGTGTTGTCCCGAGCACGTGTGGTTACTGTAGTGAGTGTACCTCTCCTGAGGACTCTTGAGCGACGCATACTGCTGCTGCAAGTGACCTATTCGTTTCTTAAGGCAGTTGTCCTTGAAGGAGCATTGCCTTTTTCGAGAACAGAGTCTGAATCGCATCGCTGGTGAGCACAGGTCGCCCGCACGGAATCGCCACTGTCTCGTCATTGACTGTGTACGTAAACGGTCGCACAATATACTGCATTTTGCAGCTCGCAGATCCTGGAGGGAGTGCGTAAAACTTGATTTGAACGTGGCACTGCATGCTGCCGTGCTTTAAAGTGTTCAAGCTCTTTCGGCACGAAAAACGAGACATGCTGGCCAGATCTCGTCGACGAGACGGAGCCGGACGAACAGCTGGGTGGGAAGCAGCGTGTCGGCGTCTTTTTTGCCTGGGTCGGTTTTGTCTTCGTCACTCCCGAATCTATACTTCTAGTATAATTCACGAAAACGTGTAAGGACAATCCATTCAATCTTCTAAAATGGTGCCGCAAACAAGTAAAACACATACAGCGATACGCCGCACAGCAGAAAGAAAACATGTTAACGAGCGCAGCGTGCATCCAACTGCCAGCAGGAACGCGAGAGTGTATCCATGGCCATTTCATGATGCAAGAGAAACTCTTCCCTCTGCCACCTCTAAGTCACAATTGCTCGTTTTCCGGCACAGACATTCGAAAACCACACCACACAAAATCAAGATTGAAGACACTTAGGTTGAGGAAGTATCAAGCATAACAATCCTAGGACCCTACTTTAACAACAAGGAAAGCAACGTGATCCCGCTACAGAAACTTAGGAGCAGGTGCCTCTGGATCTCACGCATCATTGGCAAAATGGCCAACAGCACTGAGGGCTGAAGGAATGCAACCTCTTGCGTCTCTTTCAAGCTTTTGTAGTCAGCGTGGTAATATACAGTTATCCCTACCCCTGAATAACCAAGACATATGAAGAAACAATCGACACCATACTGCAAACTATACGCTTTAAAAGGCACTGAACCTCCCTTCATGGACATCTACAGAACGACTCGAACAGCTGGAAATTCACAACACCACAGCAGATTTATTCGAAGCCCACTTCGACAATCAAATAATCAAACTATTCCTCTGCAAAACTGGCATGACGTTGCTTGCTGAACTGAACAACTTACCACCAATGCATTTCAGGAAAAAACACAGGCTGCCGGAAGCTTAGCCGAACGGCATCATCATCAAGGCCCTTCCCTGAATTATGAACCCCACATTTTAGGCCGACAGACACGAAGGCACAGTCAAAGCCCGTGACAAATACTCTAATGACGAGAGCGCTCGCCACTGGTGTTTACTTGCAGGTCGCGGGTTTAAATCCGGCTGCGGTGGCTGCATTTCCGATGGAGGCGGCAATGTTGTAGGCCCGAAAGCTCAGATTTGGGTGCACGTTAAAGAATCTCAGGGAGTCAAAATTTACGGAGCCCTCCTTTACGGCGTCTCTCATAATCATATGGTGGTTTTGGGACGTTCAACCCCAAAAATCATTATCTTCATCATCATCAGCCACGGTGTCTAGTGGCTAAGGTACTTCGCTGCTGATCCGCAGGTCGCGGGATCGAATCCCGGCAGCAGTGGCTGCATTTTTAACGGAGGTGTAAATTCTGTAGACCCGTGTACTCAGATTTGGGTGCACGTTAAAGAACCCAGGTGGTGGAAATTTCTAGAGCCCTCCATTACAGCGTCTCTCAAAATCATACGGGGGTTTCGGAACGTTCAACCCCACTTATCAATCGAGAGCACCTTTTTCGTGGACGCCGCCCGGTCACATACAAGGAAATGCAAGGTGGCAGTAATGAACCAACGGCAATGTGTCGATTGCATATATACTATACAGGTTGATGTTACAAGCATGGAGGATGTCGCTACCACCCTCGCACTCAGAAACCCAGCGCCCATCTTCGTCCTTACTGATTCAATGGCAACCTATTGTTATCAGCTTGCATGTAAATTAGTTCCTAGCATGCAGAATACTTTGACAAGCAGCAGACAGCCGTCGTGAGGCGGACTACAAACATGTTGTATGGATACCCGGCCACTGTGGAATCAGGAGTAATGAGCTAGCTCTAACCCTACACCCGAGGTCTGATACCCCGGGACTCTAACTTCAGTACAGGGACTCCAGCTCTTCCAGATCAAACGGCCAACCTTAGTACATGCAATGAAGTACTACAAAACCAAAGGCTTGGGCGGAGAATATATTCCTCACCACACTTTCAACTCAGCAAACGGGCACAACTGGCCTGGTGCCGCTTGGAAACGTTGCCGTATCCCAAACCACACGTACTCCCCAAAAGGAATCCTGACAAGTACCCATCACCCACTTGTCGTCTATGACACAATATTGTAGCTACACTCTATCATGTATCATGAGGGCGCCTGAGAAACACCATCTCAAACATTGTCTTCAAGGATTTCAGTAGAGATGGGTGGGAGGCTTCCCTCTTCAACCTGCACCGGGCGGTTCAAGAACACCTAGTGGCCCGAGGAAGGACCGGGGCGCAAGCCAATGAGGTCCAGGACTAGAAACTCCGCCAAGTTCTAAATGAATGTATTAAAGTTTTTCATCATCATCATCTGCGACCGCATGACCGCTCGTGCTACCACCCCTCTGCCATCACACCGAAGGACCGTAGTCCTTGCAAGCTCTTGCCTCGAACACCGTTGTTTTCATCTTCACACGCGTTGGTTACTTGGTCGAAGCTCGTGCGCATGGAGCGCCCACTGGTGCATTGCGGCTGGCTTTACGCATTGCACCAGTGCCGTTAAGAAGTCTGTGTTATACTGACCGTTGGTAGTTTCTCGTCGCAATATCATATTTAGACTTACTCTGGGTTGTGCATCGTTCTATCATCTGCAGCCAATGACAACCAGCGGGATCTGCATCGATCTAGTTTATGCTGTTTCTCAGAATGTATCCAATAGAAGAAACACTGTGGGTTCACTTCACTGGATATAAAGCCATTTTAATGAAGGGTCAATGGAAGCCGCATCTCGCTACATTAAACGGCGATGAATAAACTTGGCGCGTGGTTATATACACTGTACAACCACGTGTTCGTCACGTCTTTACAATGATGATAGAGCGGGCAAAACGTGCGGACGATTCACGATTTACCAGATTACCTCCGGAGCTTCGCCCCCTCATGATCATTCACCTCGTAGATATGCGGGATTGTTTTCGTACTTGTTTAGCGGTTTTCTTTATTCAAGTGAACACTGAGAACTAGCTGTTTGTTTGATGGCTAAAACGAATATGCAGTTTGCTTTCAGTTGCAAACAGTTGCCTAAACCATGCCTTGACTGAAATAGAACTGTGATAATTTAGTTGCGCATGAGGCTACAACAGTGAACACGTTGTTCACCTCACCTGCTTAATTTTTTTAATGTCCTTCTTCACTGTCCGAGATGAAAACAGAAACATAGCGTGTCTTTTATAACGACGAAGAACGCGAATTCAAGCTACTGTTATTTGTTTAGGGGCCTCGCCTCTGCCTTTTTTTACCCATGTAGACAGAAGCATTGTGGATCAGAAGAAAGCACCTTCAAAAAATATCTTCAAGACTAATGCATTGGCACAAAAACCGCGTGCTAGATAACTACACGGTATGATGATTGTATTACTATTATAATCATCATCATTGTCATATTGGCAATAATTATATTTTATGCAAAAAAGTGGGCCAAACGTTGGGTGTAACCTAGGTTTTTCGTTTTACTTAGTTTGAGAGAAAAAGAAAAGATACACAAGTTTCGCCGTTGAGCCATGAGTGTAACTCTGTCTCATTTATTGATATTTACACAGAAATAAGATACAAATCACTGAGGCGGCTACGAGAATAGGCATAAAATTATATCCTCGAGAAGAAAATATTTTGTGCCTATTTGAAAGGTGCGACTACCCACTGACAGTCAGCGGTGTAAAGAGTCAAAAAGGGTTGGTATTTTATAATGCGATTATAAAAATTCCGACAGCTCTTGTTAGGCTTTCTACGTACAACGGAATTTCGAACTCTGAGATCATAACGGATGACGTCCCCTAGAAAGAAAAAATGACAAATTCAGAAAACCATGTCATAAAAATTCCTGAAAGTTTGGTCAATATGCATAGAACATGCAGACCATCGGACAACAATACAAATTGTAGCGAGCTTTGCTTTTCGAAGATTATGCAATTTTATTTGGGGTTTACTAATACCTGAGACGCCTTAAGTCGCTGCAAAGCAGGGTCGTCGGCATAAGGTTCAGGATCGTGTCCCCCTCCCACCAAATTTTTTGTACCATGGCTTACAGTGCGCAAAATGAGCATTCCTATTATGTACCCTACTCCCTGAAACAAATTTCTGCCGAACCCCAAAACAATGCGAGCCGTAAAACGTGAGAAAATGTTTATGAAGGTAACTGATATCACTAACTCCAGTTGGTGCGTATCTCCAGCATTTATTTTTTGATTAGGGGCTCTTATTTTTTAGTTGCTGCAATTAAAAGTTGTCCGCGCGTCATTGGAATTATTTGAATAATTTCTTTTCACAGTGAAGGCTCTAGGACGGCCAACGCACCCGATGCGCCACACACAGTCTTTTTTTTCACACGCAGTATGTTTGTCAAAAGGAATGCTTTGCCTGCAAATGCGGCTGGACGAGCCTTTTTTCCCGACGTCTAGTGGACATCGATGGAAAATTCACGAGTTCATGCACAAGGACTGTGCTGTTTTGGTCAACTAAATGGTAATTATTCTTCGAAGCCAACACATAGATGAACACTTTTTTCATACTCATTTCCCCTATTTCACATAATAAGAATGCTCTTACGTCTGCAGTGAATGCCACCTTACTGAACATCTATATCTTAGATGCGCAGCACCTCTTGCTTGGGCCCATCTATGTCCTACGGCACCGGCGCCCACTCTCACACTAAGCATGCGAAATTCTTTACTCTCGTCTATCTATCTATCTATCTATCTATCTATCTATCTATCTATCTATCTATCTATCTATCTATCTATCTATCTATCTATCTATCTATCTATCTATCTACCTATCTATCTATTTATCTATCTATCTATCTATCTATCTATCTGTCTCTCTATCTATCTATCTATCTATCTATCTATCTATCTATCTATCTATCTATCTATCTATCTATCTATCTGTGTCGCTTAGATCTGAATGCTCTCATGATCGCCCCTCAGCTTGGCGTGAAGCAAAATTTGTACGGGAGGTTGCTGGTTTGAAAAATAAGATGCGCTAGTCAAGACATGAATAATGTCACAATCCCATCGCGTACGTCGTCAAACAGTTGCCGCAAAGCAGTGGCACGTACCTGCGAGCGGATATAAGCCAATGGTATTTGGGTAAGTGCCACAGGTCATTGACACTTAGTATCTATTCGGGAATAGCGAGAGCACGCTCGAGGAATTTTCACGCGTGAGCGTGAATTCTCAGGACCCCATTAGGAATCGAACCCAAGCATTTTCCGTGGCAATCCAGCATTCTATCACAGAGCCAAGCCAGGTCTCGGAACTACTTTTCAGACAGACCCTAATGTTGTTGAACGTTCATTGCGGTTGCAGTGCTGTCTATTCGATTTGGAGAACTAACATTATATATTTAGTGCTAAGGCACAGCCGTCCCTTTGGGCTAACGTCAATTTTGGTTAGGTGCCATGAATTGAGACTCAGTTGCTAAGCAGTGCCAAGGGCTACCAACCTCGGCAACACCAGGGCTTCATTGTATCGCTTTATTGTTGCTAACACTCTTGTTCCTGATGGAATCGCTGCGCGAGTGCAAAGAACTACTGGTTATATAAAAATCTGCTGCTATTCAATATATTTCTGTGTTTTGGAAATTACACAATTAATTAACGTGATTTCGTGACATGTCGCTCAATAAAAAATCACATCATTTCCCCCCAAGCATGCTTTTCATAACGTCGATTCTCAAGGTTCATAGAATCCGCCGAATTTTTTCGTACCACATTACTCTATATATTTCTCAAAGTGTTGGTTTCAGAATAGTGAAGTAAACTCTTCTACGCTCTGCCTGTTACTTCGATAGAAATTGAGTGGTTTTCGAATTGACATACTCGTCAATTATACCACGATGAACCTGCTCTTGAGGATTACTGCCCAATGAACACATTCTCACAATAAATGTGGTAAATCTGCCTAAACACCGAGTAAGAGACATTAAAACTAAATCACCACCTGTTTGGCGCAATAGTCAACCTTTCTATACCTTGCCAAAGTACTCTTGGAAGATAGAGAGAGAGAGAGAGATAAACATGCAAGGAAAGGCAGGGAGGTTAACAAGACGCACATCCGGTTTGCTACCCTGCTCTGGGGAGGAGATAAAGGGGAAAAAGAAGTTGCAGAGAGATGAGAAGGTACACACAATCACGAGCACAGTCGGGGAGCCCACACAGTTTACAGGCGGTCGCTCAGGTTTGTTGACTTAAGGTAAAGTAGCAGTGCTTTAGTTGCTTTCTGCGCAACTGAGGCAGATGCCCAAGGTCCTAGTATCTTCTGCACACAAAATGGTCTGGGGTCAAGTCGATTCAAAACCATCCGTAGCTGGCATCGCTGTGTGTCGTAGCAAGCGCAGCTGCACAGGACGTGTTCGATGGTCTCTTCATCTCCGCAGTAGTCACATGTAGGAGTGTCTGCCGTACCAATGTGAAAGGAGTACGCCTTTGTGAATGCGACACCCAACAAAAGGCGGCATAACAGTGTCGCATCGGAGCGGGAAAGTTGTGATGGTAGCTTTAGCTTGAGCGAAGGATCCAGTTCATAAACTTGACACCTTTAAAAGCTGGTAGACGACCAGAACGTGCGTGTGAGATCTCGAGCCAGCAGGTAAAGTTGTCTTGCTGCATCATTCCTTGATAGAGGAATCGGGACTACACGGGTTTCTTCATGAGCTGAGTGGGCTGCATCATCGGCTAATTGATTTTCGGTAATACCGATATGTCCAGGCAGCCATTGATATATATTATCATGCCCTCGTGCTAGAGCTTCATGATGGTAATGTCTTATTTCTTGTACCAGTTTGTCATGGCTCCTCCTACGCATGGCAGACTGCAAACTCCGAAGCGCTGCCTTCGAATCACAGAATATGACCCATTTTCTGGACGTTTTGAACGAGATATTGTAAAGCAGCCCTTATAGCAGCAAGCTCTGATGCCATAGATGTCGTCATATGCGACAACCTAAACTTGATTGTCATTTCTGCAGCCAGAATTACAGCGGCACCTGATGAGCTGCTGGATGAGACGGACCCATCAGTGTATATCTGCGTTCGGTTTAAGTACAACTCATGTAATAATAGCAGTGTTGCTTTCTTCAATGCTACTCTGGAGTGACTGCTTTTCTTTTTGATTCCCGGAATTTCTAGACGTACTTGCGGCTGGTCGAGGCACCACAAAGGGCATGCCGTTCTTGCAGCTGGCGTATATCCTGATGGAATGCTGTTTAGGTGCTTGGCTATGACGTCTGAAAACGTAGCACGTGGTCTTCCGGAAGGTAGAAGGGCCAAGTGGTGGTCGTGGACACGGCTAGCATGTCGAATGTGCGCTCTGAGGAAATCCACAACTATATATGTCCTGACCGGATGGTCTTTGGCAAGCATGATTGTGGCATAAGTAGAAGCAAATCGGGGCAGTCCTAGGCAGATACGCAGTGCCTGACCCTGCAAACTCTCCAATGAATGAGTATTCGATTTGCAAGTGTTAGTCAGTACCGGCAAGCTGTAGCGCAATAGACTCAGAAATAGGGCCCTGTACAGCTGTAGCATGGAGGCCACAGAAGTTCCCCATGCTTTACCGCCCAAGAATTTCATGATATGCACAATAGATAGCAGTCTCTTCTTCAAGTACGCACAATGTGGGCTCCACGAAAGACTTCTGTCAATTATTATGCCCAGGAAACGATGCGTCCGTGCATATTTGACACTCTGCCCATTGATGTACACAGGGTATGGCGTCACTGGTTTGCGCATGTAAACGCCATCAACGCGCACTTCACAGTTGATATATTTAGGCCTTGTTTCTGAAGGTAGGCTGTTGTGAGGGTTGCTGCCACTGTATTCGTGCACACACCTGTGGGCGAGTAACTGCAGCACTCCAGTGGCAAATATCATCGGCGTATATGGATAGGCACACCGACTTTGGCAGAACCTTCACCAGACCAATGAGAACCACATTGAACAATGTGGGGCTTAAAACACCTCCCTGAGGTACTCCGCAGTAGGTGTAATGTTGGGCAGTTGTACCCTCATATGTTTGTACAAAGAAACCCCTGCCAGTTATATAATCTTTTATTCATTGAAACATTCGTCCACCAATGCCCATTGCTGCGAGAGAAGTGAGGATGGCATCGTGAGCTACATTTTCATATGCACCCATCACGTCAAGAAAGAGTGCCACTGATATGCGCTTGCGACTTTTTTCTTGTTGAACAAATGTCGATAAATCAAGGACACAGTCCATGGAGGAGCGGCCCCGATGAAAGCCTGCCATGCAAGAAGGGTATTTGGTGTATCGGTCCAAGTACCACTCGAGACGAAATAGAACCATTCTTTCCATAACTTTTCCGAGGCAGCTTGCGAGGGCAATAGGGCGATAGGCTGTCAAGTTCAATGGTGATTTTCCCGATTTCAAAAGTGGTAATAATCGACTTATTTTCCATTCTCGGGGAACACTGCCGCTGAGCCAGGAGTTGTTGAAGCATGTCAAAAGTTCTTTTCTAGCTTTTTGTCCAAGGTGTCCCAACGCACTATCAGGACCATCAGGACCTGGCGACGACATGCAATTAGAAGCGACTAACGCACCTTCCAGTTCTTCCATGGTGAACGGAGTGTCCATTTCTCGTAATCGCGTCTCAGGAACGATCACGGCGTCGATGCTCTCGCTCATAATATTCCCGGCAACTCTCGTGCAAAATTCTTCAGCCACCTCGAGTTCTGTTTTTCTATGATGGAGTGCCAAAGCTTTAAAAGGGTGCCGTTGTTGTTGAGAGGAGCAAAGACCATGAACTCTTCTCCA